AGAGCATTATTCAGCAGAGCTTAATTAACCTCAGCAAGGGAAAGAAAAGGAAATCATAGAAGCTGTAGAGTAAAAAAAGATCATATTTAGACAAATAAGTGCAAATGACCTAGATGCATCAATTTCCTTAAGAGCCATGCAAGGCAATCTGGATGCTATCTGCAGAGACTGCAGGTTTATGTCGCTGCTCCTCGTGCTCGCTGTCCTGGTCTGTGCCTTGGGGCTTCTCCCAAACCGCCCCTGAAGTCCGAACTAATCCTACCTGCTCTCATCCCGTTTTCTTCTCCATCTGTCACCCTTCTCTTAGACACCATCAAAATGCAGAGCTGGGAAGGAGCCCAGGAGATGAGCTATTCCCTTCACAGGATTACGAATACTCAGATCATCTCTGATGGATGTTTGTCTAACCTTATTTTTGAAAATCTCCAAGGAATGCTGTCCCAAGACTTCCCTATTTTGTCTGTTCTAGTTTTAGCTACTCTTATAGCTAGAAAGATCTTTTTTCCAAGTATCTAATCCTGTTCTCCCTTGTGGTAAATTAAGCCAAGCCATGATCAAAATGGAGAATAATTGATCACCAGCCTCCTTAGAAGAGAAGCAGCTTTCACATATTGGAATACCAATAGCACATTCCCTGTTATTTATGTCCTTTCTAGATTAAACAACTCCATTTCTTTGGCCTGTCGCCACTGACCAGGTTTTGAGAGTCTTTTTTTTGTCTTTTTATATTTTCTTGCACTTATCTGATTTAACTACAAAGAATAATTTTGTATGACATGCAAAACTGGACAGTGTAAACCAGCTAGTTGTCATCCTGGCTTAACTATGGACAGGATAATATATAATACTATACTAATATAGCCAGCATATAAACAAAGGTAAATTCTATAGCTTAATAATTTCTTCCTAATTCTCTCATATGTTATCCCTGGGATAATCAGGAGTGAGAGCAGCAGCCTGTCCCAGCTGCCGTTTCTGCGCCCCCCCCCAAGCCTGAGCTCCCTTCAACAGTGTGGCTACTTACATAGCTGATAGATCTCCATTTTGTGTATACGTATTTGCTTTGTCCTTCTGACACGTAGTACTTACACCAGTCTGTTTAAACAATCCATTTTCACCCTCAGCCACACATCTGCTTTCCTTTATCTTGCATGTGCTTGTTTGATTCAGCTTACGTGCCCAAAGAAAGGCAAGATAGTCCTGCGCTTGACAAAGATGGTGTACAGAACAACAAGGTTCATTTCTCAACGCTGCTGCGGGCTTTCTGTCTGCATCTGGCAGAAATCACAGAAAGCAGCATTGCTTTCATTGCCTGCATGTTCCCTGAATTTTTATTCTCTCGTGCATGTGCATAAAAAGCTCCTTAAAACAAGTTTGGCCTTATTTGCTGTACGTCTCTCATGTAGCCCAGATGAATTCCTAAATTTTATTGAAATCAATTACAGTGTAAACCAAGTGCATTTGCCCATGCTTTGCTAAGGAGTTAAGTAATACATGTTATTCTTTAAGAGCTGTAGGAACATATGTGATAAAATATCCACAGATCAAATAATTATTGTTTCCTATCTACCGGTGTTAAAATCTAGTCAATTAGGAAATAATATCCATTTATTGAGTGTTGGCAAGAAGAGGGGAAGAAGGGAGACATGGTAGTAGGAAATGCCTAACCTATTAGAAATTACATTTTCCAGTTACAGTTATTAATCTGCTGTATGGACTGAACTTTCTCGAAACCAGGTGTGTACGAAGTGTCTTCCATGTTGGACACATGCTATTCACAGAGACATTTATGTGCTCTACCACTCTCTGAAAAATAAAGGGTCTCTTAAAAACTTGGGGTATCGGTGCTGGAGTTTATAGTCAACGAGTGGGGAGCAGATCTTCTTTTGTGGAAGTACGAAACGCACTGTTGGCACAGGGCAGCGACCTGCACTCGGGAAACGTCAGGCATGGACTTGCTCTGAGCCCTTACCTCTTCTGTACCTCTTTGACTGGCTTCATCTTCCTCCATGCCAGCATCTTTCTCTCCTCTGGGCCTCCCCCTGCTCCAGGGCTGTTTCTCCACCGGAAGGTTCCTGCCAAGCTGGAGGCCGAGAGCTCTGGGGAGGGCGGTGGGAGAAAAGATGATTCATTTCTTCTAGATTCGTTACTGACGTTTCTTCTCAAAATGAAAGTAAAAGTGGCAGGCAGGAGCTTTGCGCTTATTGTCTTTCCCTCGTTCGCCCATGTGCTTGCTTAACGCTCAAGGACAAAACCACGGTGTTTCTTCTTCGTGTGTTTTCTGCAAACAAGTCTTGATAGCTGAGCTTGTTCTTTCCCGCTGTTGCGTTCTCACCAACAATAATATTCTTTGGGGCCATTTTATTTCCAAAAGCACTTGTATGATTCCATTATCTCCTCATTGCTCCTTCAGTAATTCCTAGGCAACACCGTTATCTTCACATCCAATGCTCAGCAACACCTGCAAAACGTGGGAGCCTCTAAAAGGCACTGCAGGAGCCTCGCGGGAGGCAGCGGTTGTTCCTGCTGCAGCCTTGGAGGGGAAGCGTGTGGAGCAGTTCAGTCAGACATGTCCAGACCCGATGTATTGTCCTCTGGAAGCATAATGACAGCACAAAGCTGTTAAAACATCCACTTAGCATTAGCTATTAAAAATAGCTTGTCATGTTTTCTAAATCGAAATTGGAGAGATAAGAGAGGAAAAAATGTATTTAGTATGTGTAAGAAAAAAGCTAATGCACAGAGCCTTGTGTTTTCAGAGCCAGGTGAGAAGGAGGATTGTGATTATTCTTTTATGAACAAATCTCTACATAATCATGAATATTGCATAGAAAAGTGCGTTTGATCCCACTTCACCCATCTCAGTCACAAGGACAGTCTGTTCAGTGTTGTGTTTTGGAAGTTTTCATCAGCAGTGAGTCGGTTCTCCCTGTCTGGGAAGAAGAATAGTTGCTGGTATAGGTAATTTAAGGAGCACATCTTTTTTCCTATGAGATTTGTTATCAAGTTTTTTTGAGAATGTGGTGAAGATAAATGCTATTTCTAAGAACTAGTCCAAGACTCAAATTTAAACACAGTGCAGAGTATTGATTTAATTGAACAAGTTTAGTGTGATGCTTACAGCTTTTTCTCAGCACTTCACTGGGCGCAGAGGGAGAGGAAAAAAGCAATTTTCCAGGTTAGGACAAAACAGGAAAGACTTTCCATTGCATATTCAGCCTGAAATATCCTTTTCTTACGTTTTGGACAGCATCACTGCTCAAAGCCTACATACTAGAGGAGGATATTTGTACAAGACATTAGTTAATGGATTTTTTTTTCCCCTAGAGCATTCCAGAGGAAGGAGCCAGGTTTTGAAGACTACGAGCTTCTGGACAGTGCCCTGTCTCATGATAGTTAATACTATCTGCAGCTCAGTGAGCAAGTTTGCTAAAAAAAATTATGATGTACAATTTATTTTCCAAGATTGATGATTTGTTTAAAATAATACCTACTGCTTATCTTTAAAAAACCTTGCTACTAAATCTTATTTGACTAAATAAATGCTGTATATTGATTTTATTTTTCCTCTTAAATGAATCCTTTGACATAGCATTTATCTTTATCTCTCAAAAATCAAAAAGTATTTAAGTTATATTAATTTAATACACCTAAATATTGGCTTTTGAGAGTGGGTAGAGGAAGGAAATCTTGATTGTGTGTTGCTAAATTTGGCTTTTTAAATATGTATGCCTTGTAATTTGAATCACCTTATGTGGTCATGACTATGTAATTAACATTCTGTTTTCTGATGATCTCTTTTTGTTATCTGTTTCCTATAAAGACATAGAGATGTGGGGCCAATGCTCCTCTTACACCAGTATAAATCAGGAGTAGTTCTAGTAAAGGCAGTACAAAATTTGATGGGCAAAGCCAAAATAAGTATGAAGAGCGTACGGAGGAAAACAGGAAATTATCTAGTTTTTTACTACAGTTTATCAGCATCCACAATTCCACATCTATGATTGAGCAGTTGACACAATAGATCTCAAAACACTTTTTTTTAGTGCCACCTCCACCTACCGCTGTCCCCCAGCTGCCGTGACCGCGCGCGTCCGTGGTTTGGCAGGGGGGATCATGGCAGCCGACACAGCACCGCTGCACAGGCTGCTGCCAGCAGGGTCAAACAGCGCTGGGCATGTCAAACAGCCACGGAGCTGTGGGTGTTCTCATATGACTTCTGAAAAATTAATAATGAAGACTATTTTACTTTTCCCTTCCCGACGTAGAGAAATGAGCTGTTGCCAAAAAACAAGGGGCAGGAATAATCAACTTAGAAAGGAGATGAGGATGAACAGGTTTGGTTGTAAAGATTATAAACATCAAGGAGGGAAAAAGCAAAAATTTAAGCTGGATCAAGAGGTTAAAACCAGGGCGTAATGGGACAGAGATAGGTTAGGCATTCTTTGAACTGGGAATCAGGGTGGTTTTCTCGCCAAGAAGTTGTGTATGAATGGGAAATGGGTTCCAAGAAGAAGGGGCAGAGACCCATCTCCCCTGACTCTGAGAATGCGTTTGGAAAGCAGAGATCTGCACTACCCAGTCTGCGCTGCCAAACATGCCCCAGCTGATTTCTCAAGATTTATGCTTCTACACAGCCACGTTTGCAGCATAGGAATCCCATCAGGCCAGTGGCCTGTATTCTCCAGTTTCTCGTCCTATGGAACAGAACTTCCCAGAATGGAAAACGATGGAAGTATCTTACCTACTCAAAGGCATTTCTTCATGACTACAAGCAAAATTTTGCAGCATGAGGATTTGTATTTGTATTCTTTTATGCCTATGATCTACCCTATTTGTTTAGCCAGCAACAAATGTATTCGCAGTAGATGAGGCTTGAAGAATCTGACCAGGTTTCACCATTACTTCTTTCTTTTCTTCAGCCCTCCCATTAATTCCTTACTGAGTTCAGGCTCTGTAAGTATCTTACGATCAACCCATCTCTCCTTTTCTCTCTGTAGGATCTGATACGAAGAGATATTCTGTATTACAAAGGTCGCATAGACATGGATAAATATGAAGTGGTGGATATAGAAGACGGGAGAGATGACGACTTCAATGTCAGCATGAAGAATGCCTTCAAACTTCATAACAAGGAGACTGAGGAAATGCACTTATTCTTTGCCAAGAAACTGGAGGAGAAGTTACGATGGCTTAGAGCTTTCAGAGAAGAAAGGAAGATGGTAAAAGAAGATGAAAAGATAGGTGAGGAATATGAAATGAATCTGAAAGGAGATTGTTGGTAATGCTTAATTTAGCCCCACCTGTTGGAGAAGCCCGCATTTTTTTTGTTAGAAGAATTACAGTTCAACCTTGTTCAACTGTCCTTGGTTGCTCTCATAGGTCTCACAAATAGGTCTCTTTCCAATTCAGTTACTGTTATTTTTGGCCCTCCATAAAAAAATTCTGCCCATAGCTTCAAGCCTGGACCTCCGTGGGTATTGTGGGAGAAGGAGGTCTTTGGCCATCTGACTTCAGGGTCCCCTGGCTGCATCATTTCTGCTCTGGTTAAGCACGTCTTGTGCAGGGTAGGAGGGCGGCGAAGTCAATGACTTATCAGCCATGCCCTCCCCTCAGCATCAGCCCATAAATTGACTGTAACCAACGTCAGTTCAGGCTCAGTTTGTGTTGCTCAGCTGTAAAGCACTGGGCATATTTATGATACTGTATAAATAATAATGGCTCTAATCTTACGTTTCATACAGCCCCTGCACAAGTGAGATTATAAAGAGGCCTGCCCTTTCAAGGAAGATTTGCTTTTCAGTAAAATACCAGCCCATACACACAGCTCACTGGGTGATGCTTTGCCACCTAGGGCGTTCTCTGTTTGCCAAACAGCGCAGAACATTCCCCCCTCCCCAAAAGAAAAAGAGGTTTTGTAAGCAATCTTCTGAATTGTGTTTGCCGTGTTCCCTTTTTCAGGCTTTGAAATTTCTGAAAATCAAAAGCGGCAAGCGGCAATGACAGTAAAGAAAGTCAGTAAGCAAAAAGGTAACCGGCAACATGCACTGTGCCTGGTGATGTGAGGGTGGAGCGGGCTGGGCTGAATCCTGCTGGGTTAGGATCCAGCATCCCCCTTGAATTTCCCCCTCCCCTCTCTCTTTTTTTATAAAATACCGTTTGTGCTTTGTATCCTTTCTTAATGTATCTGTGGGCCAAATTAATCTCTGGTCTAATGTGGTTGAATTTCACCAGAGATGAATTTGATCTCGTGTCTCCAGTCTGATGTCCAGAAGCTGTCCCTGGGGGCAGAAATCTATCTTCAGTTGTTTATCTCAGGCTGAAGTGGCAGTGAGTGCGGAGTTGTGTAGGGGTTCTGCTAGTTCCCGAAGTCTCCCATTAGCAAAGAAAGATGGCTAAAATACTGGAGATGGTGAGGGATCTATCCCTTTCCTGCTTTTGGGAATGGGACACTCACGTTTCCTGGGGCTACCTATAACTTTTTAAGGACAGCACAGTAGCATCAGCTGTAGGAAATAAAGTATCTTAGTAAAGACATTCTATCTCTCTAATGTCAGATTCATTTCCCCACCCAGACAGGCAATAGCCAACTAATAAATGCCATGCTAGATATTAAAGAGAGTCTCAACTGGTGAAACAGCCAGTGTTAATTATCTCTCGCCATAACTCTTGCAGCTACAGGTTTTGTAATAGTAAATACGGAGGGAAAGTCAGAGAGGTAATTTTTCAAGTTTTCCAAAGCTTCACAAAGTCATAGACATATCGATTCGTTACCAAAGTACAGTGGCACAACTAGGCCTATAAATGGGTTTTGAGAGAACTCATCACTTCTTGGCTATAGTCAGTTCCAGGCAGATTTGTCCCCGCTCCCTACAGGCATTGGGTTGTTTTTTGCAAAAGTTGAAGGAGCTCTTTGCTTTCTGCCTCACCTGTTTGTTGTCTACTGGCTTTGCTGGTCCAGTAGCGGTTCGCTAGGCCAGCTGTAAACTCCTTGGTTTGCTGTGTCTCTCCATTGTCATTAGTCTTCTCCTCTCGACTAACTTCCTATGTTGTCTTCTGAGATGTTCTCTAAAAACTCTCCTGGCCAGATTTTCTAAGCTCAAAGTATGCACACACCCAAAAACGGGCCCAGGGAACGCGTATCTTACACAACGTACACGTAGTTCAGGCAGTCGCGGACGCTGTCACGAGCTGGGTTTGCAGGTTGGCCCCTCACCACTCGCGTGCTTGTCCCTCAGCACAGAAGCCACCATGGAGATCTCGGCCACTGGAAAATTAGAGAAACTGACTTGCATGATGGCCATGACCAAACCAGTTTTAATTATTATTTGCTGTTCAATTAATGATATTATTAATTAATTAAGGTGTTAATTAATTAATAATTGTACTGTTCAGTCATTAAGTGACACGGTTCAAAGGTGCCTGAGCATGCCTACCGGTACTCCCACTTAAATCACTGGACTTGCATCCTGACAAATATAATATGCCTAACCATACTTCTTACACAGCAATTGCTCTCTTGTTTTCTCTCTTTCTCTTTCTCTCTCTTTCTCTCTGAGATGAAAAAGGAGGGGCTATTATCTTAGACTTCTCTGACTATAAAGTTAATTAGCTCCTAAAACACCAGTCAGCATTTCTTTTATGAAGAACGAGCTTATGCTATAACACTGGCAGTTCTTTTTATGAGATGAAGTCCTCGAGTCAGACAGAAATTCAGTCAGACCCCAAGCATCAAGTTAAGTGAAGCCTGGTTGTTTTACTTAAGACATGAAATCTGAAAAACAACAAATAGGGTCATTAAATTAGTGGCTCTGTTTCTTTTGTCCTAATTGTGCTAATCATAGCCCAGTCTCAAATTAATTAAATTAAGTACCAGCATTGAACTTTTTCCTGAAGACTCTTGGTTTTCTTACTCTGTGTTTTGTCTTGTGCCCACGGCCCACAGAGAGGCACGAGGTTGCCGGGGCAGGGAGCTGGTGGCATTGCTCAGAAGAGGGAGGTAGGAGGAAATTCCTGAAAGTCGGCTTTTAGTGACTGATTTTTTGAATCTTGCCGTATGTGTTTTACATATATTGCCAACAATTTTTTTGCCGAAGACCTTGGCAGGCACTTGGGGCTGTGTTGCTGAGGCTGAGCTGCAGCTCTTGGGGCTGGGAACAGGCAGACAGGTGTGCCTATGCCTCCCGCTGCACAACAGTAGCATTGGAAGGGGCTTTAAGTTGGTTTTGGAGCGTCAGTTATACCTGGAAAGCAGTGAAGCCCTTTAGGAGTAGGAATACTTCCACTTCATTCAACTGAACTATTTATTGATTTAAATTTATGGCCTTTGCAGGACAGGTCTCAGTGGTGACAGCAGGGCTTGACAGCTCAACAGCTCGACCTGACACGTGGAGAGCCCCGCTCCGTGTCAGTGGATGCCTATTACAGACTTGTTTCTAGATTATCTCAGTTGTTCCCTCCACCTCTTAAATGGGAAACCATGGCTAATTTCCCTGTCACAGAATACTTAAGGAAGAGAGAAAAGCCATGAAGGAGGTGACATGGAAAATGCAATCAACTTTGTTAGAGATGAAGCAGAAAAACATTTTTCAAATAGCATAAACTGCCACTTATTTCATGCACTGTTGTACCACACGTCCCAGAAGTATTACTCTGGAGCTGGCTGGCCTGCGTTTGAAAAGGGAGCATTTAAACTACTGCTCGCTGCAGCAGGCGAGGGAGAGACGCTGAGAGATTAGCTGATAGCAGGAGAAGAAACCTTAAAACTCCTCTTTTTAAACTAATGGAAACTTTATCCCGGTGATTAAGAGAGAACACAACTCTCAGTGTTTTGAGAAGTTTTTGATCCCAAAATGAGGGATCCCCAAATGAGCCCCCTCTGGAAGCAACCCCCCTCCAACACTCACGTCTGCACAGAAACGTGCGCACGCAGTGCCAGGCTTCCTTCCAAACCGATTTAATGATGCGCAAGCTCAGATTTCAGCAATATACTAGGATTTGCACTACTTACTGATTGGGCAAAATGTAATGATATTAGACCAGGTGCCTTAAGACAGCATTAAACCAATTTTTTGCCTTCTTTAAGTCTATTAGACATAAACGAAATGGGTAGTGTTGGCTCTGCACCTTACCAACAGATAGAGAAAAGGGCTGTTTGCTGGGTTTTGGTTTGGTTTTTTTTGCATTGATTGTTCAAGATTTTGCCTCTCGGTTACTGCCCTTTAGCCTCTTTCAATGTCAATGTGGTAACTGGGAATAGAATTCAGTGTGGTGTCTCCTAGAAATAGTAAAGTAACAGAGCAATTTATTTGTCTTGACTTACAAAAACAACAAAAAACCCCACAACCCTTTTTAAGCTACAGCCAGTCAAGTGTGCAACTTTTCTGCAGGTAAGTCCAGGTACCACTGAGGACCTTTGCTGCCTGCACTGACACTGCAACATTAAGATAGCATCGAGTTGCACTTCCAAAATTGTGCTCGTTATTGACGAAAGCAGTGGAAACAAGTCTAAAATTCCATTGAAAATGGATCCTTTGTGGATCTCCAGTCCATCCTTAACATAGACACAGGATTATCCAGGGTACTTTTTCCATTTCTAAGTGTCTGAAAACAGAAGGCTCCTTTAGTGCCTCTATCCATCAAGGTCTTCTATTCTGCTGGCCACTTTTAATCTCTCCTCCAATGATTAGTGTTTGCAGCTTTCAGAAACATTCAGTTACTTTTCCGATCCCCAACTTTGTCCACATCTGTCCCCACACAGGACAGCGTGTACACGTAAGGGATTTTTGCTCATGTTCCTAGAAGCTGTCAGCCAGGGGCGTCAGGGGGATTAGAGGTTCCAGTGCCCGGGAAGGAGACCCCATTCTTAAAGCACCGTTTCCCACTAATGTTTCCATTTTGGAAAACGTAATGTCCCTTCAAATTTAAAGAAGTGACCTTAGTGCTAGGTGGGAGGGTTTCCCACCTCAGAAGAGCTCTTGAGACCCACGCTATGAGCCAGCTCCTTCATGCCCTTCTGTCTGTCCTGTGTATTCTCCTCTGCACTGTGCCACAGCTTCACTAAAGCAGATGCCCTCAGCCCAGACAAGTCTTTACCTGGTGGTCTGGGACTTGCAGAAGGAGGGAAACATATAGTCAATCACCATCAGCCCTAGCCCTGAGCTTAGAAGGATGCTGTCAGTAAATCTCAGCTATGCAAACCCAGCAGGGGTTAAATCATCAGCCAGCATGAACTACTTTGGCCTGCAGTAAAACACCCTCTGAGTCACTGAATTTTCCTGCTAATTTCTTCCTTTCTGATCGCTTGAGCTCACGGTGAACTATGTCATAAAAACCCTGACCCAAACACCCAACAGCTTTTCTCTGACTTCTCACACTTCTGCACTTCAAGCTCTCCCTCAGCAAGTCTGCAGCCCAAACCGAGATGACTGCATGTTAGCATACTTGTGCTGGCTTCATCCAGCTGGCGAGGACAGGTCTTACCAGGTAACAGAGTCCGTAGGTACCTCCTGTGGTTCTCCTGAGCGTTTAAGCCTATTTTATTGCATCTTCATTGCTAACAAGATTGACGTAGCCCTGACATGTTTCCCCATGCTATTCACACATGTAGGCATAGCCTCGGGAGGGTTGCAAGAGACTGAGCAACACAGAGACTAACCACTTTACAACAAAGAGGGGCATTTGCATTTTCAGATAACCAGGGTCACTTCCCTTTTTTCACAGAGCTTCCCACAGCGTAGGTGAAAGAATGAGCTAATCGTGTTCTCCGTGGTATTTCCCCACAGATTCAGAGAAATCACAGAGATTATCCTATTGCTTGTAAAATACAGACCCTACCCAAAACTGCAGAACGCAGGCGTTACGCAGTGCCCATCTGCGGCTCGCCCAAGCACGTCGTGCTTTGGGTCTGCGAGCACTAGTCTCATTGATGATAGCATAGATAGGTGGCTTCTCACTCAAGGCATTAATAACCCAGCTGAAGTCAGTAGTATCATCTCAGATCCGGTCAGATACACAAGCTAAGGCAAATC